ATCGATATTTCTATCTTATCTCATTATTTTCTCACGTCCACTTCCAAGTGTCTCCACGTCATTATATTTTTGTTAAGTGGTACCTTTTAATAAGAAATATGAGCAACTACAGAATCTTTATAATTAATACAACTTTCTCAAAAGGTCGCGGACTTTCAAAGGGACTGATCAAGAGACAATGAAGATCAATGAAGAAATAAACATATCAGGTATGAGGAAAACATACGTCAAATTTAAATGACTTTTTGACCTTATCAAATAAATTGGTTATTCTATATCTGTAATGTAGAATCGTGACGCAATCAATTTAATACGCATGCAATGATTTTATTTTTAAAATTGAAGCATCATCAAAGAAAGAAATGACGGGGTTTACAGATATTTATGAGAATACAAAAGGATTACCACTATTCAAAGAGAAACAGATAAATTCCGAACATTCCAAAAAACCGGGTTTAAGATGTCAGATCAGGAAACAATGACCCCGAAGATGATATTGACAACGACGAAAAACTACATGATGAAAACCCGTATGGAGATTTCTATTTAAATGAGGAAACAATCCAAGATATAGATATAGAAAAACTGGAGAACGTAATAAAGGAAAAAAGGAAAAATGAAGACGATGGTTTTAAAAGGGAATATGCTGTAAGGATTTTTTATATATACATTTGATAAATCTAGGAAAGAGATGAAACTGATGAAAGTACAGTGTATAATGATTTGTTCAACAGGCCATGCCCTATGGTGAGAAGTACCCTTGTGATGCTGGAAAGCTGCCAGAAAACGTGCCGAAAAACAGATTCAAGACCACATTTCCATGTATGTTATACCATTTCTTATGTTGTTCCTTTAGATGAATCTATGTGGAAATAGGCATTTTCTAAACAATGTCAATTAAGCCTGTTACAATTGATGGTGCTAAGACAATATGTCAATATTGACATTATGAAATCTGCACTTAAAAATTTCGTCAAGAATTTGCATTATGCTTTATATCTAATGATTGATAATTATAAATGATTATTTCCAGATGATCATTCAAGAATCATATTGTCAGATAGCCAGTCTGACTACATCAACGCCAATTATATTGACGTAAGAAGGATTAAAAAGAACTTTATCCCACTGAATATATATGATTGATTATAATTGTTGTTTTCGCAACTCGACAATATTTCGGCCATATTTTGGCAGCTGATTGAATGTATGTTTTTTTTATTAAATTATTAAGGATATTCAAACCTTATAAAGGGTATTGTAATTTTATCATTTTATGTTTTCGAAATACTTTTTTAGAATAAATATAATTAAGCACAGAATGTCTTTGAAAAGAAAAGCAGGATTAATGTTATGCAACATTGCCATATATGAATATTCTAGGGTCAATCATAATCCTCTTCAATCAATTTAGTATTTTATTTGAAGAAAAAAATGTAATAGCAGTTAAATTTCAATACTTTTCATTGCCGAAAATTCTCCTTTTATTTTCAGGGTATTGTCAAGTCAAAAGAATATATTGCAGCACAAGGTACAAAACTTTTGGAGTACGTTTTAGAAAAGAAATTGCCACTTTTTGTAATTCTTTTACAATAATTATTCTATTTAAAATTGTGATTGTAAACATTACTAAAATATTTTTTTAAACGATAATAAGCATTTAGTTTACATATGATGTTATAAACAAAATATAATTCTAGATTAAGTTGCAAGTTCTCTTATAAAACGGGCACCTGTTTATTTATATATCCACTGTCTTTGTGTTGACGTATTATACTGCTTAACAATGATAATACAATAGGTAATCGTGTTAACATAATTGTTTCTTTGTACAGGACCTCGACAGAACACCATAAAGGACTTTTGGACCATGATATGGCAGGAAAATGTTGCCCAAATAATCATGCTGACCAACCACAAAGAAAGCAGTAAGGTAGGGTTTTTTTTCTGCACATTTTGTTAACAAAATATGTTCAAAGATTTGTTGAACAAAATCTGATAACGATAAACCTCATTCATTTGAACTCGATAAGACACAAGCAACCTTTGATATTTAAGAATCGTATTAAAAATCATACTCAAAATTTAATACAAAAATCATAAGGACTTCCAACTCTCTCTTGCATATCCCTGATATTTGAGATATGGATGTTCGAGACATAAAAGTTCAATTGTTTAATTGAAAATTATTCATTTATTCAATTTACAAAAAAAAAAAAATCATTTATAAATCAGGCGAAATGTTCCAAATACTGGCCAGATCTGATCAGTCTACAACATTCGGTGTCATCTCGTTACTGGCGGAAGAGGAGCAAATCTACGCCAATTATAAAATCCGGAAATTTAGAGTAACCCATAAAGTGGTAAGTACTTATTAAGTGCTTGTCTTATATTTAGATATGAAATAATATATACAAGGGTTGTTCGAAAAGTTTGTGGACAGCTGTCATATCTTTTTTATTTTAAGTCACATGTTATCCAAATTTGGTAGAAATATTTTTACAATAAATCCAAATGATTCATATTAATTTAAAAAAAAAAAATTACGATTTATTCAAAACTTATCAAGTTTTAAACAATGCAAAATTCGGACTGCCGAGCAGTTCCTACTTTAGTAAGTTACAAAGAATACACTAAATAATGTCTGTAGTCATATTCTCTGTAACATGGAGCACAAACCAAAAAAGTCTAGAAATTCAACTTAAGAATTGTTACATCGATTCGTATTCCAAATTATGCCTTAATATTTTGCTTTGTTGAATAGAAATCAACTTGAGAAGATAGGTATTCCTTCTTAAAAACGACAAAAATGATGACGTTTTAGAACATCACGGAGCAGCAGAAAACGATGCAATTTTGTGTTTTACCCAGGAAAAAACCCCGAATGAACTCTAAACATGTTTGAGGAATCAAGAAAATATGTCACAAGCGAGTTGTGCATATGTATAAAAATAGTTAATATAGGCAGCATTCGAGTGACAGAGACTCTGTATCTGATAAGGACAATCTGCGAAGATACGGTGTAAAAATCTGAGCAGAAACTTTAAAAAGTTGGAACGTCAAGGAAAGACATAGACGCTTCAGAGCTGCGTATCCTCTTAAAGCAGAGTAACGTAATAAAAGAAATTAAAACCTTATCAAAGGGAATTATACATCGAGAGCAATTCTTAAAATATATTTCAAGTATTAGAAAAAGGATTTAATGAGTGGGCATTGGATTATACAGTGTGAAATATGTAGAGATAATTTTTTTTTAAAAATTTTTGACGCTAGGCTTTGACGATACATTGCCGTTAAGTGGTTGCCCTTAAAAACATGTTGATTTTAAAATGTAGTAAATTGATTTCTGTTAAATCGAATGGAATGAAAATTCACACACCAACAAAACAAATATTTTTACATATTATATTGTTTTATTTTAAATTTCTAATAAGTGATATAACGAAGATTGATATCGTCCACGAACTTTTCAAAAACCCCTCTCAATACATTCTGAAATACTTTAAAAAAAAATAAGATTGAAAAGAAGGGATCAAATTGTCCATAAAAAAGTTTTTAATTGATTTTTGTAATTATATTTTCACGATCAGTGATGAATGAAACCTTTGTTGAAACCTTCATTCAAATAAAAATCTTTTTTATGGATTTCTTCATCTAGTATTGTGTTAAGCAAGATAATATGACATTTTAAGTGAGCAACATATAAATTAAAATTTAATGAGTTGGCATCACAGTGTTTGGGAAATATTGCAGATCAAAGCAGAAATTACACTAAAGATCCCATTTTTGAAGAGCATGAAACTCATTTATGTGAAAAAGAAAAGTGTACATATTAATTTATTAAATATGAATGCTATATTTCTTGTTGAGGGTTTGACGCCATCATTAATTAAAAAATAACATAAGCCATCCGAATTCACCTTTTCATCATCAGCATAAAAAATCCCGCATTGTGACCCAGTACCACTACACTGCCTGGCCGGATCATGGGATTCCGGAACCGCTCTGTCTTGTAGTATTCCATGATCACGTGACAAGGACAGGGATCAACAAAATCTCCCCAAATTAGTTCATTGCAGGTTATTTATATTTAATTGATATTGTTTACCGTACATTTTCATTGTGCTGAAAAAAAAAAATGTTTCTTTGGAATTTTTATATAAAGTGCTTATTAATCTTATATTGAAAAGTAATGTAATATAATCTTATAATGAAAAAAATGACTTTAAAACATTTTGAAATAGATCATAAAGTATCTTTGAAGAAAAAACATCTTTTAAAAGTGTCTTTTTGTTTCACCCTGATGACCTTAGCGGGGGATAGGGCGCACTGGGACTTATTTGCATTAGACGCTTTATACAAACCGGGAAAATCAGAGAGGAAAAGTCAACATCGCGGAATACGTCAAAAAAATAGGGAAGGCGAATGAACATGGTCCAAACTTAGTATGAAAATTAAACGAAATTGAATTTTAGATAATCATTTCGTTTTATTTCCCCATTCAACAACTATAGCAATGTAAATATTGTTAATTTTAATCATGACTCCAAAGATTTTTTATTTTAAAGCAAACATTAATGATTTATAACTTAGGAAATTTTTTTTATAATTTCTTAAAATAAAAATGTCAAAGTTCGTACAAAACACTGCATTTATATGTTATTGTTTTTAGTTTATAAAAAAAAATCATTAAAACGTACAGTGTAGCATATACCAAGAGAAAATTTTGAATATTTAAATTGAATAATTATAAAACATTACAGACACATTATTCTGCTTTATTTCTCTACCTTCATAATTCTGAAACACTTCTGACAAATTCATTGCAATTGCATGTTACATGTATTTTACAAGCCTTAGTATTTCAATGGAGCAAAACAGAATTTTATTAAATTTTCCAATTAAAAAGGAAAAGGGTTTGTTAACAGCTCATACCCAAAGCACATTTTTAAAAAAAAAAGAAAATATAACTCATTAAAATGCATTTGAATTAATGAACTATGCTAATTCTGATTTTGGTGTTTGGTATGTGGACGTTACAGGAGCAGTATAAGACTATTTTTCTCGCGCTTGAAGCAGGTTTTAAAGCTCCAACATGTGTCCTCACCAAAACCCAATTTTCAAGGAAGGCAGAGTTAATGATCCTGGATAAACCAGCCAACGAAAGCGAACTAAGAAAAAGTTCCCGGTTCTTTTAACGTTATTGTTTTTACAATTTTTAAATTATTTTTCGTCTACTAAAACAAACTGGACGTTTTATTTTTAGTTTGGTTCCATTATAACTATAGGTCAATTAAAATCAAAAACTTTAAAAAACCCCAAGATATAGTTGACTTGATTAATTTATGTTTACCTTTTTTTTAGAAAATTTTTAGATAGATATCTATATTTTTAAGAAATTGAAACCTTTCTTTGTTTTTGTCCGTTTTATTCTATTTTACTACTTTAAATCTATTTTTATTCAATTTCGAATTTAAAAATATTAATCTATGCCCTTTTGCTTGTTCAAACATGATTTTAAGATGGTATTGATGAAAAAATGAATCATCTTTATCTAACTCACATATTTAGAATCTCCTAAGAGTGAGGCCCAGATACACGGAAGCAGCCTACAAATTTGCTATAGAGAGCAGCGGAAGTAAACTAGGTGTTTTCCACTAAATTTTCCATACGTTTAAAGAAAATACTCATTGCATTTACTTATTTATGCATAACGGTTCTTTAAATTATAGTTTATATGAAAGTTGAACCATAAAAACCCCAAATTTTGCACCCTGCATATGAACGGAAAATGGAATTGTTAACATAGGAAAGTTGACAAAAGAAAAGCTTGTTTGTCTTGTTTGCCATAAAGTTAACGATGAAAAAATTTTTTTTAATTTTCTTCTTAGGCTACAAAGGAAAATAAGTAAACACTATTTTCCCTGTGTAAATTTAAGAATATTCCCCTTTTTAAGATCAGTATCATGTTCTCGGCAATATAAAAAGAAATCTGTTCATGTATAGCGAGGCTGGTGAACATGTAAACTTGTCAAATTTTTTCTTGTCGCCATTACAGTGCTCAACCAATTCGGTAACAAAGATGCTGCTTCATTTATTTTTTGTTAATTGAGTATAATCTTTTGAGTTATGCACTTACTGAGATGGGTTCTATACAAATAAAACTTCTCAATTCTAGTTGACAAGTATCGCCTGTTCCTGTCATCAAGTGTACCAAAACGCGGGAACTACATCAATGCCATTACACTTCCTGTATGTAAATGTTTATTTTTTCAATTGATTAAAATGAGTTTTAATTGTAAGAAATAAAAGTACATAACAACTAAATCAAACCTTGATATTGAATGAAAGTACTTCAAATGCATGCAAACTGTCGGAAAAAAAAATTCCATAAGTATCAATATTAATTAATATCTACAGTGCTGAAAAATTAAACCAAATTTTCAATGAATGATACATGTAAGCGAAGTTATGTAAGGTGATTTACAAAAAAATGCTCTTATATTGACTTAGCTTATTTCTCTTTTTCAGTCCTACACCATGAACAAGGCATTTATAATAACACCTTATCCCCAAGCAGGGGACGCTGTAGATTTTCTGCGCCTGCTCACCGACCACGAATCAGATGAAGTCGTTTGTATGGACCCCCTTACGAAAGTTGAATCGGTGACTAAATAATTCTTATAACTTGATTTTATTCTTACAAACGTTTACTAATAAATAATGTTCATTTTGATAATCTCTATGCTATGTAGACAAAGATGTGGCTACCGGCTGCCAACAGTAAAAAACCCGTCTCTCCATTCACGGTAAATTGTGACGGGAACAAGTCACAGTTCAAATTTTCAACAATAACTTTCCAAGAAGGGGTAGGTAATGAACTGGACGTTTACTTTTTGAAATATGTTTGTAACTCCATAGATTTTGAAGATCCGTTTAATTGTGCTCTCTCTCTTTTCACTAGGCAAATACAAGGGATTTCCGTGTCGATTTAGAACCAAAAGGAAGCTTGAAAAAAGCAGAAAACTCACAGGCGACAATACAGATGTTACATTTAGTTTCATCTGCACTTCAAAAAAAAACTGGGGCCCCATTACAGTAGTCAGCAGGTAAAGAAAATAAATCGTAAAACTCAAAAATCGCAAATGAAAATTTATTAGGGGACAATAAAAAAAAAAAACCAACCTTAACGCGATTTCGTTTTATCACGTCCAAATATGTGTCTCTTTAATGGAATGTATGCATAAAAAGTGCAGGCACATTTATATCCTAACTTAATGAATTTCAGTAAAAACAACAATTATATACGGATATTGAAATATTTTAGATTATCAATAATGGAGCAGCCCTATACGGAGTTGCCGTTTTTCTGTTCTGTGCTTAACACATTATAACAGATGTTTAATTATCAGTGACGGGGCAGCCCTATGTGGTGTATTTTGTACCGTGTTTAACGGACTACAACAGATGTCTATGGATATTGATATTTTTTAATTATCAGTGACGGTGCAGCTCTTTGGGGTTTCTGTGCTGTCTTTAACACACTAAACAGTTGTCTATGGACGGGGAGGTGGACATTTTTACTGCCGTCCGTCAGCTACAGATAAGGCGACCGGAACTCTGCTCCACTCTGGTAACCTTTTAAATAAATACTCGCCTAACCTCTAAAGGTAGTCCGATCCTGGTATATAAAATAAGCAGTTAAGTAATCAAAAATACTCATAAAAGTTTCTGAATTACAAAAATGTAAATTTATCCACAATATTTCTTTAAAGTTATAGAATAAAATTAATCATTTTTGGGCAAATTGTCAAATCTCCAAAATTTTTTCAGAAAAAGCAAATTGGAATATTAGGATTGCATTTTCTAATTGTTATTGATAGGAAATATATTTTTGGTTAAAAAACGATAGGTATCCAGACTTAGAGAAATACTCATATTTTATACTTATTTGGTACTTTTTGTGTTCTATTTCCGTCATGTATTCTACGAGGGTTGTCCGTAAAGTTCGTGGACAACATTAATAATTACTGACAAACATTGATAATATATTTGAAAAACATTATTTTCATTTAATCCATGTTTCATTTTTTAAAATGCAAGTTTTCAACAAAAAAAACCACAATTTCATAATTAAAAAAGGACATACACTCATACCCGGATCATTAAAATAAAATTTTACTTATCCGACTCAAAAGCATAACTGTGCATGTAACTTTTCTCAACATATCACCGTTTAACTCAATACATTTTTTATGTCGCTAAAACCACTCATAAATATGTGAACAAAATGTTTAGGTTTTACACGTAAAATAATGTATTTAACAATGCCTGTCTCATATCCTGTAATCATCCAACCTCTGTCCACGTAAAAACGATTTTATTTTCGGAAAAACGGTTAAGTCACGTTATGAAAGTCATTTTTACAGCACTGCAATCTCGGAATGATGGTTTTCCTTCACGCATGTAATCCTATAAACTGTTCCTTCAGTCCGAAAATATTATATGCCACTTAAATACTAATGACAGCTTCTTTTACTATGTTTTCCCGATTGTTTACAAAATGTATTGGTCTCTATAGGTGTTTATCCGATGTCAAAGCAGAATTTTTCACTCTCACTGCTCCACCTTTCCGAAAACGCCCTTTTTTTTGGAACAATTCTATTCTGTCTTAATAAGTTCTAACTTTGATTGCTCAGCCATTTTACAACTTTCAACTTTCAAATTTTGAATGTTAGACGTGATAGCTTCTGTCAACTTATAATGTAAAATTCACCCAAATTTTAAATTTTATAAAATACAAATGAAATTTATAAAGTGATAATTTAAATTTTGTGGTGCTGGGTCTTTTCCAATTAATTTGAAGCCATAATTGAAAATAAACATTTGAAATTTTTTTTTTTTCAATTTACATTTAGTAAAGGATTAGAAATTTAATAGAAATAATACACAGTGTAAAAGGCTTTTGCTATCATTGCAAGACGCCACAAATCCATCTCATTTCATATCACGCTACATGTAATAATCATGGGTATGTAAGGCTTATTCAAGAAAATTTATGTCTCAAAACTGTATTAATTTTTTCTCCTTTTATATGGTACAGTAAAACTTTTTTAAGACCCATTCTAAGACTCCCAATAACTTGCATCTTATAAAGATGAATAAAATGAAAAGTTCATGAAAAAATTTCATTTTAAAGCTTTTTCATGATTTCAAATCAAATACTAATTTTTGAGCTATCCTTCCTGGCTGAGGATGTATATCCTTAACTTTTGATACAGTGCATTATTGATTTCCTTTTTTAAGCTTATTCTGCAATAATTTTGTTGTCATTTCCCGAAAATTTTTATATTTTTATTGTTTCTTCTTATATAAATATATACATCTCCCCATACATTTGATGCCATACATTGTTATTTTTATCTGATTATGCATTTAAAAAAATACATTTATATGCTGGTCAAATTGAAATCTTTTAATGTTTTTTTTGTTTATTAAGGAGGAGTATATGATGATCTCAATGTTGTTCTGGACTACATCCGGGTACAAGAGGAAACATCAGAGGAAAATATTTATAGCAACCAATGACAACATTCTGGAATGAAATGTTCATGATTTTAAGGGAAAATTACTTGTATAAAACCAAAATTTATTTATTGCAATTCAAAAACTATATTTATTTTTTATTATATTGCGATAACATCTGTGTTCATCTAATGACAAGTGCATTAAATCAAAAGTAGCAACGCCTTTTATTGTTTAACTGGCTTAAAATTTAGAATAATTACTTTCATGTAATTATATTTTTTTTGCTAATATTTGTATTACTACACATTGGTTATATGAAATAACTATTTTTTCAAATGAATTTTATGTTGATAACTTTTTCAACTGCATAACAAAACACATAAATATTATTTTTTTTTGGTTTTAATTGAAATAAAGATTCTCCATTCTTGAAAACACAACAGGGAAAGCATGTTTTTTTTTTTCAAGGCAATTTTGATTATGTTTCTTTGAAAATCCAAAAACATCAAACGTTGATTGTAAATTTTGTAATTATTATTAAGGGTTTTCCCTCCCTAATAGGACCAAAAAAACTACCCTTTTAAAAGTCCATTAAGTACATGAACTCTATATCATATTAAAGCATTTTATAGTAGAAAAGGATTGCCCACGAGAAAGTTTAAAAAAATTTTAACTAAGCGGTAGTTAATTAACAAAGATTGCATTGAAGTCTATGTAGAAAAGCGTTTTTTTTTCAAAATAAAATTTCAAATATATTGAATATCAATAAAACCTGCTTTGGAAAGTGCTTGAAACAATGAAAATAGAATAAAAATTTTTATTTGGTTTTTTTTTAATTAAAAAAAAAGGAGATAACTCTTTCTAAGATTCAAGGCAATAAATTAGAACACATTCCACTATACATACTCATGGTAATAAATGGGGGGTATGTCTAAATAAACTGAGTATTAATGTTAAAAATCTATATGTATTCAATTTCATTGAATTTGTTCCCATTAGGGATAGAATACGTTAACCTTATTGTATTGCTTAATGGACTTTTGAACTTGAATATGTTTTTTATCTCTTTTATGCGTAAGGTCACGATCTCGTGAATGAAAGGTACCTTCAAATTTGAATATGATTAACGAGATTTCTCAATAAATCTTTAGAAATGTTGCTTTGTGTTTGTGAATTGGGACGTAATTTGTCAATCTACATGCAGAGTTGTCGTTTGTTCCTCTTTCAGATACCTCTGGAATGGCTGGCGTAAAAAGGAAAAAAGTTTTAAACTTTATCTAAAAAAACAAAATTTAAGATCTACTTTGCAAAAATATAATATTCATGTTCTAATCATTATGAATTGAAACAAACTATTTTCTGAGCCAAACAGGGGTGGTATATGCGATGCGACGACAAAGGTGAATGCATGAGCCGATGGTATATATAGGTTGTACTAATTTATAGGTAATCTAAAAGATAATTTAAACAGTCATTTTAACAAAAAAGGGAAAAAAGAGGGTATAACTTTTGCTTTTCTGTCTCCGAAAAAGGAAATATATCAATGTTGCCTACAATTCCCAAATAAACTTTACAAACCAGTTGCAGAGGAAATATTAATCAGAGATGAAATAAATTCATAGCAAACCCTTCAGGCTGTCCTATCATAACATTTTAATGACCTTTAAAACAAAATTAAAGTATTCTTTTTATCTCATGATTTCGGGGGGGTTTTTATGCCCCCTAAAAAGAAGTTTCGCGGATATATAGTTTTTGTCGTGTCTGTCTGTCTGTTTCTCCCAAAAACTTTAACCTTTGCCCATAACTTTTGATTTAGTGGAGCTGTGAATTTCATATTTCACATGTGTATTCCTTGTGAAAAGACTTTTCTTTGGTTATCACCAAATTTGACCTTTTGACCTTGACCTCGGAGTTTGACCCATTTTCAAACAAAATTTCTTTTACTTTGGTCATATCTTTTGAACTCTTGATACCAAGACTTTTTTGTTTCATACATGTATTTTTTGTTGCGAGACCTTTCATTGAGTACCACTAACTTTGACGTTTTGACCTTGACCTTGGCGATTTCTGAACTTATGAAAAAACTTCAACTTTGGCCATAACTTTTGAAGGGTAAGGGCTAGGGCCTTCATACTTCACATATGTAATTCTTGTGAGAAGACGCTTTATTATCCAAAAACTTTGACTCTTTGGCCTTGACCATGGAGTTTGAGTTCCTTATAAAATGCAATCTTCTCCATAATTTATGAAGGGTTAGGACTTGGGTTTTCAAACTTCACATATCTAATCCTTGTGACAAAACCTTTCATTTTATATCGGAACCTTGACCCTTTGTCCTTGACCTTTGAGTTTCACCTATTTTTACACGAAAAATTCAAACTTTACTTTTAAATTCAATTCACTTTAAATTTTTCAACGATAAATACTAGGAATTTCATATTTCAAATATATTTTTGTGACGAGACCTTTCATTTGAAATCCAAAATTTTGATTTTGGAGATTTCCGTACTTATAAAAACTTTAATTTTGCCATAACTTTTGAACATGGGCTAGGACTTTCTTACTTCATATTTGTAATGATTGTGAGAAGACCTTTCATTGGATATCGACAACTTTGACCTTGGGGTTATCCTACGTTTTACAAACTTTAACCTTGCCATAATTTTTGAATGGCAAGGGCCGGTACTTTCATATTTCCCCATAGTAATCGTTGAGACAAAGCCTATTTTAGAAACCAACAACCTTGACCCTTTATTTTTCCCCCGGTTTTTGTCCTACCTTTAAAAACGTTTACCTTGGTCAAAATCTTTGGACAGGCGGTGCTAGGGTTTTATATTTCACATTTGTATTTCTTATGTAAATATGAAATCAATCTGGCCCCTTATTTTATTTAAAAATCTATTATTCTTATGTATATATATATATATATATATATATATATATATATATATATATATATATATATATATATAGAAAGCACTTTTACATGGATACCAACTTCCGCCCCAGCCCGGGGTTTGAAATCTCGACCTTCAATCTGTCTCCTAGCAGTGCAGGAACAGCGCGCTAGACCACTCGGCTATCTAGGCAAGTCAAAAAACTTGCTTTCGATGCCGATGGAATTTCGCGTCGCTGCCCTACACTACACGGTCATTGAAATAGAATGTTTTTGTAAAAATGTGCTTTATAAATAAAAATTAATTTCATTACAACTGTCTGTGTTATCTTTGAATCAAAATTAGTGCTGCTTTTGAAACAAGCATCGCTTTTACTTCTTAACAACGAACAATCACACTTTGAACTGTGTTGTGATTTTTAAATCAAATAAGGGGCCAGATTTGGGGCCCCTACCTTTCTTTTTGGTTTCAAAATTCCTACCTTCTTATCCAATATGCAAATACATGCTAATTCATGCGTACATGCATCATACATCGATAGTGGGTAGCACAAAAAACCTTGAAGTAGTAAGGATCTCTTGTTTATCAGTCATCTTCAATGACATTTCTTTGTTTTCTGGATGTATACGAAATACTTCCTTATTAAATTCAGATTGAAATCAAATGCCTAATAACAATCTAAATATATTTGAAAAAAAAAAGGGTAAAAAATCTTTTTTTTCTTAACAATGTTATATTATAAGTTACGCAAAACACTTATTTAAGAAATAAACAACGTTATTCAGTAACATGGCATTATGAATAGCAATTGCTCGCGGCATTTCCAAGCCGCTAGCGCATCATGGAAAAATATGCCAGCAGACTATTTCTATTCATAATGC